CCCTCTGAATGTTTTGGTTTGGGTTTGCTTCCAGGTTCTCCTTTGGAAACAACTCCCTTCCTCTCTTCCAGCATACACGAGAGCCTCAGTTACCTGGAGGGCAGAGCCACCGTCTTTCACTCCCGCTACCTCTCGGCGTGGGCGGGCACCCGCGCGGGAGAGAAGCCCTCGGTGGTTCTGGGCCACTTCGTCCTGCCCCCTGCCTGTCTGCAAGAAGGTCAGGGGAAAAAAATCATCTAGGGAATTTTTTTTTCCAGGGAATTTCCCCCATGAGTGCAGCCTTGGTGCAAACCAGAATCGACAGTTACTTGTTTGCAGGGAGGGACATTCCTTCTGCCTGAGAGTGATTCTTCCTCCCGGAGGGCAGAGTATGATCCACCTGTTACCACAGAATGGCTTGACCTTGAACATTCCCAGGGATGGGGCAGCCACAGCTGCTCTGAGCACCCTCACCATGCTCACAGGGAAGAGTTTCTTTCATCTAAGCCTGTCTTCTGTCAGTTTGAAGCCTTTTCCCCTTGTCCTGTCCCTCCATCCCTTGTCCCCAGTCCCTCTCCAGCTCTCCTGGAGCCCCTTTAGGCCCTGCAAGGGCTCTTTCTGGATCCTTCCCTTTTCCACGTGAACACCCCCAGCTCTCCCAGCCTGGTTCCAGAGCAGTGGGCCTCCAGTCCTTGGAGCATCTCTGTAGCATCCTCTGGACTCGCTCCAGCAGCTCCATGTCCTTCTGCTGCTGGGGACCCCAGAGCTGGAGGAGCACTGCTACTCTGAGCAGGCCAGAGGGGCATAATCCTCCCCTCACCTGCTGCCCACACTGTAGGAYGAGTCCAGGACACACGGYCWGGTCATATCCATGAGCTTCTCATCCACCAACACCCCAAGCCCTCCTTGGGGCTGCTCTCAATCCATTCTTGCCCCTCCAAATTTGTCCTTGGGATTGCCCTGGCCCAGGGCCAGCAGCTTGCAGGGTGACCAGAGGCACCTGCAGGGCATCACACTGGCAGTGACTGCCRCRGTCGTGTTCCTTGATGCTCTCACAGTCACTGGYTKTGTTGTTCTTGGCAGAAATCAGAAGGAAAATWGGCCAGTTTRTCTGGGARARGGCAGATSSCYTTGAARARCAGGTAAGATGAAAAAGTTGTACTACACCTGTATGTGCTGAAGGATGAGCTTACACTGAGCAGGAAGTTTCACAGGAATTCAGGGGAAAAAAGATCAT